GTCTTGGCACTTTCCCCCTTGGCTTCTTTCAATCACTATCCTAGCTCTTTGGTGGAAATGTAATGAATAGTCTGTAAGTGCTGTGTAGGAGTGAAGGGAGAGTGAAATACCATGAACCATGATTTGTGGGAGTTTGGGATGTTAAAATTTGGTGAAATGATGGCACATTCTACATAGACTGTAATAAGAGTCATTTGCCTGCTAATGAAAGAAGGAAGAGAGGGGTAATTGAAGAGATAAGAAGTAGTTTGCCTACCGATGAGGCTTAACTTTTGTGTCACCAGGCATTAGGTATGGATACCTCAACTTTGCACTGTTTACCTACAACATTTGAAGAAGTGCTACATGATAAACATTCATTTAATAAATATATCGATAAAGGATAGAGTGAGGGCTGATCAAGGCAGACTGATTTAGGAGTGCATCCCGAAATAAAAATGGTAGACATCTAATAGAGTAGAAGATTGAACATTTCACAATGAAAAAGATATGTATAGCAGAAAGCAGGGTAAATTGTCTGCACCAAAAACACAGGCTTCATGCCATTGGAGGGAATGGATATGGAAGGACCTTGTCTCAATCTGATAAAAACCATTTATGACAAACTTAAGGCCAATGTTAAGTGAGGAACGTTTCCCTCTAAAATCAGAAAGAAGACAAAGATGTTGATTATCACCACTACTGTTCATTATAGTACTTGAATGTTAGCCAAAGCAATCAGGGAAGAGAAAGAAATAAGAAAGGATACTTAAAAGAAAGAAGGGAAATTATCATTATTTGTAGAAGGTACGATCCTTTACATAGACTCTCAAATAATTCCACCTAAAGAATCCTAGAATTAATAACCAAATCCACCAATGTAGCAGGATACAAACCCAGTACATAAAAATCAATGGCATTTCTATACACTGAAAAGGAACTCACAGAGAAAGAAATTAGGAAAATAATACCATTCACAATAACATAAGAAAAATTAAATACTTAGGAATGGACCTAATCAAGAAGGCAAAAAATCTCTACAACAAAAACAATATACTCGGAAAAAGGAGATCAAAGAAGCCATCAGAAAATTGGAAGATATCCCCCGTTCCTGCATAGGCAAAACCAACATTGTCTAAATAGCTATACTTCCAAAATTGATAAATAGACTTAAGGCAATCCCAGTCAAAATACCAACAGCATTCCTCATAGAACTAGAGGAAACAGTCCTAAAATTCAGATGGCATCAGAAGAGACCTAGAGTAGTAAGAGCAATCCTGAGCAGTAGGAAAAGCAGGAGACCTTACAACCCTGGTTTTCAAGTTGTATTACAAAGCTGCAGTGATCAAAACAGCATGGCACTCACAAGGAAAAGACACACTGATCAGTGAAACAGGATTCAGAAGCAATCCCAGGCACATTCAGCTGTCTGACCTTTGCCAAAGAGGCTAAAATATACAGTGGAGGAAAGATAGCCTTTTTAATAAGTGATGCTGGGAAAACTGTATTTCCATATGCAGAAGATTGAATATAGGCCCATATCTCTCACCATGTAACTAAAATGAAAATGAGTCAAAGATCTAACTGTTAAAACAGAAACACATAATCATCTGGAAGATAAAACAGATAAAGCTCTGGAGGATATAGATCTAAGCAAGAATTTTCTGAATAGAACCCCAACGGCACAAGAAATGACACCAAAGGTTAATAAATGGGATTATATCAAATTACAAAGATGCACAGCAATAGAGTGATGATACAACTTATCAAATGGGAAACAATTTTACCAACTAAACTCAGACAGAAGATTATTATCTAAAATAGAACTTATAAAATCAGACCCTTACAAAATAAAAGACCCAGTGAAGAATGGACAACTTAAATGAGTAAACACTTCCCAGAATAAGAATTACAGATGCCCAATGGATACATGAGAAAGTGTTCAATAGCTCTGCCCATTAGAGAAATGCAAAGTAAAACAACCTGAGTTTTCCTCTTCCTGCAGAAAGAGCGACCGTCAATAAGTAATCAAATAATAAATGCTGCTGATGATAAGGAAAAGAAACCTCTATACATTAATGGTGGAAATGTAAACTAGTATAAACACTTTAGACATCAGTATGGACATTTTTCAAAACAATGAAAAAGGTAGAAATTTCATTCAACCCAGCTCTTCCCCTTCTAGATATCTTCTTGAAAGAGTTTAAGACACCATATTGCATTATACAGACATGCTCCTGTTTATAGCAGCATAATTCATAATGGCTAAATCTTGAAAGCAATCTATATGTCCATCAACAGACGAATGATACAGAAAAGATGGTAGAGATACACAATGGAGTACTACTCTGCCCTAAGGAAGGATAAATTTGAGTAATTTGTAGGAACATGGATGCATCTGGAGACCATAAAGTTAAGTGAAATGAATTAGAAACAGAAGCTTAAAAACCTAATAAGAAACCCAAAGCATAAATGAATTGAAGAGCAAAATAAAAGATAGATACTAAAAAACAGGGAGATAGATCTTTTCCAAGGGGAAGTGGAACTGAGAGATGGAGGAAGAGAGAGGGATGGGATGGGAAAAGGATGAAGAAAGAATTAAGACATATTATGTCCATCTCCCAACTCCCCATGAGGAATGTAACCATTATGCACTGCAAACACGCAGTATAAAAGAGTATATTACATGCTAGACACTGGATAGGACTCAGAGAGTGAGGGGAACTGAATGAAGTAACAAAGATTAGTGTTGTGAAGGAAATTTCAAGATGTTGGATGCAGAAGCCATCAGAAAGTAGCACAAAAAGGGGGCGGGAAGTTCCTTTGGGCTGAGTGTGTGGGGCCAACCGATTGGCTACTGGAAGTGAAATAATAGGAAAGCCTTCCAGGAGACCCTGACCTCTAAACTGAGACTTGATGGAAGGAGAGGAGAGACCGAAGTGAAAGGCCTTGGCTGCCTAGGGAGGAGTTTTGATGCATGACTTAACCTCGTATTCCCTTTGTAGAGAGAAATAGGGAGTCAGTAAAAGATTGTAAATCAGGGATTGATGGGACAAAATTTATCTTACCGTGATCACTCGGTTACAGACTGGATGGTGGGTTGGAGGGAGGCAGCCTGAAGGTGAGTGTTACAGATGGAGGACTGTTAGAGTGATTCAGGCCACACTTGTGCTAAGTCAAGCTCACCAACGTGGAGATACGGTGCTGCAAAAGAACTGCTGAGACTGGAGGGAGTGGAATTCACAGGAAGTGGTAAGGCCTGCAGAGAAGTGAGGCCAAAGATGAAAACCAAGTTTTCTGATTTAGGCTACTGTGTGGAGGGTCATGAGACCATGATGAGATCCACAGCCCTAGAAGAGTCGCAGCTTTAGGACGGGAGAGAAGGAGCAAGAGAGGAGAAAGTGATGTTTTTCTTTTTTTAAAATTCAGATTCTCATGGTACATCCAAATAGAGATGTCTCATAGGAAGGTAGAAATGAGGAAATGGTGAAGATTTGAGCTAATGAAATACAGGTATGGGGTTAGGGTGAAAAGAGTACTAAAGAAAGACTCTGAAGAAATGTGAAGCCATGATATGAATTTGGGGATGTTACTCGTGTTAATGTAAGGTACCCGAAACTACAGAGAGCAGAGATGAATGTTTCCAGTACGTTGCTTTACATTAGTCTATAAGAATCAGAACTTTAACTGTGCTTAAACAAAAGTTGAGAAAGAATCCCAGTGCAGTGCAACTAGGTTCCAAGCTACCAACCAGGGCAGCAAAGAATCTCTTGGTGCTCTCTTTAACTTTACTGTTACCTTTGCCTCTTGATAAAACAAGCGTTCTTTGTAAGGTGAGGCCAACAGTCTGAAACATTTCATTAATTTAAAATTAATCATAAAGACCTTAACACTGTCATGTTAGGAGTTCTTCAGTATATTTTGCGTAAGGTTAAGTTTCTTTTGCCTAATTATGATAATTCTGAGTAAACTTCGTGCAAACATTTGAAAAACAGCACATCATTTGACTTTTATCATGATCTAGTGAACTGGGGAGGAGAGTTATTGTTTTTCTTTCAATTTTATAGATGAGAAAATTGAAGCTAGAAGAGGTGAAATGATCTATCCAAGATAAGTTACTATCTAGTAGGTGGCAGATTTGGAAATGTATTTCAGGAATCTGGGCCATAGATACGATTACAAATTTTTACAGCATTTCCATAGCAGCCTATCATTTTGGAGTCAGATTAAAGAATTTAACCAGTGTTTAAGATTATCCAATAATAGCCATTGAGCATGTGCAAGGCATTGCATAAGGGACTGGAGAGATATAAAGGCACGTATACAGCAGCTTGGGGAACTGAAAGTTTTCTAAGGCATATAAAATGGAATTGCACAGTCAAGTAAAAGACAGTACTCGAGATACCAAGTGATAGTAATAATTCAAGAGGATGTATAATATGTAGAAATGGAGACTAGCTCTCTAGGGATTCAGAGAGGTCATCTGCAAAAACTTTGTAAGAGTAAGTATCACTTAAATTTAGTTTAGGGACCGAACTTAGAGAAAAATGGAAGCACTTCAGGCTAGGACACAGAAACGACAAAGGAAAAGAGAAAGGAAGATCAAGATATGCTCACACACTGCCAAGTTGGCTGGAATAGATTGTTTATATAATGATACCATATCAAAGTTCCATGGAGGTAAACTGAGTAGATGCTGTAGAGATTTCAAATATCAAACAAGTAATCTAAATTATTTTATCAAGGTAGTTTAAAAATCAGATGGTTATTTCAGTGGAAGATGTCAGAGATTTCACTGTATTTGTTGATTAATTTGATGAAATTGATTTCTTCTATTGTTCTACTTCCTAATCACAGTTTTGGAAAACATTTGCCAAAGATCAGCTAAATTGAAGTAATAAAACTTTAAACAGAATTCATGTGCTATTTTTTATTCAATTACTAAGATTTTTGAAAGCAATTTTCAGAGGCCCTTCAGAAAAGGTTTTACCTGATGAGGGAGACACACTCTTCAGCCTCCTTCGGGGACCATCAGAGGAATTTCCGTGAGGTTAGCTCTTACTGCATTCACTGGATCGAGGACTAGCACACTGAAAATGACAACTTTTTCCAACAAGGGAAAGCAAATCTCAAAGCCTGACAAAGCCAGAAAGCGTGGTTGTGGCAAATTATCAGCATATAATTACAGAACATGATCACATCTGACACTTAAATCATTTGTTTAAGGTGGGTGTGGGTGCGTGAGCGGGCACACACACACCCTGGTACTTAAGGAAGCTAACGCTGAGTCTACTCTCGGTCTTATCAAAACCACTATCTAGAAAAGATGACCCCTCTCAAAATTACTGCATGTTCACTGATAGCTCCAGTCTGCACTAAGATCTGACAAATTGTTAGTCAGTATGCTACTTAAGATTATCTCCGGGAGGTATCAAAGATGTTACAGCAGTGAAGATGGCCTAGCATGAACAGTGACAAGAACTAAAAGCCTCAGTATTTGCAGACCATTACACAGTGCTCAAGGTGAGCCAAAAGCTTCTGAGCAGGACGAATGAGTTCTGAGCAGTGAGAAGGAAAACTCATCATCTGCACCTACTTAGACTCTGAGACCCGAATCAGGAAATGCATTCCGTGGAGCATAGGAGTGCTGTGGCTCTCCTTCAAAAGAGAACACTTCCCAGCTTAATAAATGTTTGCTATCATTTGGTGAAGCCCAGTCAGGCACACTTTTGCGAGTGAACTGAGTTTAAGAGACACCCATGTGTACAAGTGGCCGATCCTTCTGATTCCGTGGAAGACATAATTCTCATTTCCAAAACACATGTGGACAGAAACTGTTCTGCTCCAGCATGAGGTGAAATTAAATCCAGCAGAGTAGCAATTCTGGGGATTGTCACTTTATAACACTACCTTATTTTTCTTCTTTAACATGGTTTTTCAAAAATACACGTCTGCGTCCTATAATACAAAGTACTAAAATGATTTTGACTTGAGTTATGTAAGTGATCTTTCAACTACAACTGGAAAGCTGTAATTCTGAATGAAGGTATTTACTATTTAATTTTTGTTAATCTGGTAGATCTTTACTGGCCTGGGGGAGGACTTTTACCATATTTTTATCATACATAACTTTGAACCTTCAGTTTCTGGCCTCTCGAATTTTGGTACACAATTATATTTGTTCCCAGAAGCTCTGCTATTGTGCACAGAATAGGAGAGTTAATCAGATACCACAAGATCTTAGAGTTAGGTAAAGCAAGCAATCAGCCAACCAGGGAGCCAACCAGCCAACCAGTCAACCAGCCAACCAACTAGCCAACCAGCCACCAGCCAACCAACCAGCCAATCAACTAGCCAACCAGCCACCAGCCAAACAACCAGTTAATCAACCAGCCAACCAACCACCAGCCAACCAACCAGGCAACCAACTAGCCAACCAACCAGCCAACCAGCCAACCAACCAACCAACCAACCAACCAGCCAGCAAACCAGCCAAAAAACCAACCAGCCAGCAGCCAACCAACCAGCCAACCAACCAGTAGCCAATCAACCACCAGCCAACCAACCAGCCAACCAAGCAGTCAACCAATTAGCCAACCAACCAGACAACCAGACAACCAGCCAATCAACCAACCAGCCAACCAGCCAACCAGCCAACCAGCCAGCAGCCAACCAACCAGCCAACCAACCAGCCAACCAACCAGCCAACCAACTAGACAATCAACAAACCAACCAGCCAATCAACCAGCCAACCAACCAAACAAACAAATAAATTAAAAGCAGCACTGCTTTGTTACTCTGACTTAGTTCTACCTTTGAGTTATCTGTAGACACAAAATTTGTTAGTGGTACAGGTCCTCAAAAACAGATTCCCCCAACTTCTAGCCTTGTTTTTCCCATACATTATGCTCTTAAATGTATTTGCTATATTTCTTCTATATCAAATGAATCTGTTACACTAACTTCTTTGTGTGAGTGTGGTACTAGAGATTGAACTGAAAGTTTTTGCAGGGAGCTAAATCCCCAGCCCTTTTTAAATTTTACTTTTCTTGAAATAGAGTCTTGTTAAGTCATTACATTGCCCAGGCTGGACTTGAACTTGCCATCCTCCTGCCTCAGCCTCTGAGAGTATTTTTTTGAGAGTGCTGGGTTTGTATGTATCACTACTTTTTTTTTTTTTTGAAGTTCACATCTGCCCATGTTTCAAACTGGTTTTTCTTAATAAAATTTGGTTGTGTAAGAATGCCCATCACTTTTTCTTATATGTATTTCATAAAAGAAGTTGAAAGATGTTAGTACTTGATTTTAAGTTAAGATAATGAAATCATGAAAGACATGTCTTATAAAGATGATTTATGGAAAAATGTCTTTGCTGGCTGTCTTCATAATTTTTATTTCAATAATCACCAAAAATCTATGCTTTGGTTAAGAAAAATGCAGGTAGATTAAAAATGGAAATATCACTTAGGTAATTCAGTCGAGGATTTTACCAAGCAACACCTTTGCTCTTGTACTGTTTTATGAAGGACTTAATTATTTATGCATTCATCCTTCCCTCACATGATGAAAGAATGAATACTTAATTCCCTATCATAGGAGAAGATCATGCTTAATCTGAGGCTGGAAGTGTAGGCAGTTTTCCCCGGTCCAGGGAGACAGCCATTGGATAGCCACTATGGTCACTGACCTTAAGATGAAATTGATACTTGTAGGAAGAAAAGGCAGAAAGGAATAAAGTCTTGGTTGACATTTTTATGATCATACTTACCCAAGAAACTATTTTTTGGATTTGAAGCTTCATGAAACAGTAAATTTCCTTGTTATTGAAGCCTGTTTGTGATGGAGTTTGTATCACCTGCTGTCAAAAACATCATCACAGATATTTTAATAGTGCTAGAAGACAATGGAGAAAGGTGTGTTCTCTTGTTTTCTCTCTCATGTTTCCAAAATACAGCACAGAAATGATCTTAATCATATTAATAAAAATATTAGAGTGCAAAGCACTTGGCTTGGAGGCAGAAGCCTAAATTCTTGTCCTGACCATGATGGATTTATGAGCTGCATGACACTGAACCAACCATTTACCATCACCAGCTTTCTCTTTTCTCTTTCAAGTAGGCGTAGCAACACCTTCCTTATAGTATTTCTATAAGAATGAAAAATGATGATGTATGTGAAGGTGCTTTGAAGACTAAAGGTCCATGTTAAATATTTTAAGTGTTAATTGCTCATTGACATGAGTCAGATTTTGTGAATATATTCTGATCTAAATCCTTCCAACAAATCTTGTAGGTGAGTGGTGGTATCCCCAATACACAAATGGGAGAAGTTATGCTTTGGAAAGCCCCCAAAATATACCCAAGGTCACACATATGGTAAATGATGGAAAGGGAATTCAGATCTATATTTATCTTAATTTAAATTTTTTCTTTACCTTAATGGGTCTTACGGTGAGATAAGCTTACGTTTCCAGCATGTCAAACTCCTGCATACAATTATAATAGGCACCAGGAACTGCTAACCCGTCTTCAGCACTTCTATATGGACACTGTCGTTGTTTCTTATGATCTCATTTACTCCTCCTGGGGAGTGGATAGCTTTTATTTACACTTTATGTATGAGAAAATGATATGCCTTGAAGTTACATTTCATCTAGAGTTTAATAGGTGGCAAGAGATCGAGGCAGGATTGAAAACTTATTCAAGGTTTGTCGGAGTCCTAATTCTTGAAGCTCTTACCTTTGAGTTGGGAAAAGTGTCAGTGATGTCAGGGCCAAGGAGAGCTATCTCGACTGTTGAGCTACAAGCTCACGGTGGGAGTTGAGGTCAAGTGTGCAGAGGAAGGCTTTGCTATGCAGTCAGCTCTGGCCACATGATCAGATGCTTTCTAGCCCTGTGTCCTCCTCCCTGTGTGGAGATAGGAACATTTGTGGGCAACCTTACCAGTGTACGTGGTGCCCAAGGCAGGCCAGGGGAGATGAAGGAGGACACCACGACCTGGCCAAAGCTTAAAAGGTAGCCATTGAAATTTTGCTGATAAGAAAAATGATCAGAGGGGGCTGGGGATTTAGCTCAGTGGCACAGCGTCTGCCTGGCAAGCACAAGGTCAAGAGTTTGATTTCCGGTACCAGAACCCCCCCAAACTCTCCCCCGCAAAAAAGAAAAATGATCAGAAAACCAACAATCCCCAAGCCTGTCAAATGCTAATGATTTCTGACAAGAATGGTTTTACTATTGGTCACTACCTCGAGCACTTTGCTAAATTCAGTTAAGCATGTGGAGTTATGATCGTGTACCGAGACTTTATTCTTCGACAGCAATGGTTTACTCTCTCTCCCCCTAATCTCAGAATGTAATCACTCTTGCTTCCTTTTTACCTTTCTAATTTGGGAATCTCATTTGCTGTAGCCTGGGAAATCAAGTAAACATGGTGCTTAGAACTGCATGCAAAATATGAATCAATATGAAAAGCAGTGTGGGGGACAGGCTTTCATGGATTGTCTCTGATGAGGGCTCTTTGTGGCTGCAGCGATTTTAGGTGGGTGCATTATTAGCTGCATCTCCCTAAGGAGAGCATTCAATGGGTCATCAAATCTAACCATCTAGAGCTCCAAGCATGGAAGCTGACTCAGAGCTAATAACAATGGGTAATATTTATTGCGTACTTAAGAGAATCCAAACAATACCTACACACATTATCTCATTTGCCCCCTGCCACAGCTTTGAACCAGAAACTATTATTATCCTTGCTTTACAGATGAGAAAACTGAGGTGAAATCACTTACTCAATTTATACAGCTATTAAGTAGTTGAGAAACAATTCAAATCAGCACAATTTGCGTGAATCTGGCCTTTGTAACCAGTTCTACTGAGTAGCAGGTACTTGCCTGAGCTAATCAGGATATCAGAGAATGGTAAAGATGAAAATTCAAGCTATCTAATTAACATCTGCCCCACCATTACAAACTGTGTCTTGATGTCTAAATCCAGTGTAAATGCATGTGTGCACGCATGCACACCCACACACTCACACACAGGTACCTGGTATATAAATTTTTCCAAAGTTATTGTTCAAGTCACCCGTTTTTCTCCTTACTCTCTCTTAACACTGCCTTATAAGAATTTTTATCATTCCCAGTGTGAGGGAATGCCAGTGTGAGGGTAGGGCCAGTGTGAGGATTTGGACTGTTGAAGATTATGCTCTTCTGCTGAGTTATCTTGAGGATAATAGGAAAAATACCTGGAGAAACTATCCCAAGTCCTAGTTTTGTAATAAGAGTCCAAAAATCAATGTGCAAAATTTCTCACCAGACTATTAGGTGCAAATACTTTCAAGGGTATATTTCCAATCGAAAGTCTATTTAAGGTATTTTGATCTTTTTTCGAAAGCTCTGAAACTAGAGATTTCCCAAGTTATTGCTTTATTTCCTCTGTCAAAGTTGAGAACGTCAAGTCAGTGTTTGTACCAGGGTGTCCCTGTCTTTCAAGGCTGTTTTGTGGTAGTTCCTTAAATATTTGTTGGCTTATGGTGTTAGGTTAAATCTTACTTGTAAAGGTAAATGACACAGGCCAAAATCTGAACAGACACCTCAGTAAAGAAAACATACAGGTGATAAATAAGTATGTGAAAAGATGTTCCCCATCACATAGCAAAATACTGGTGGAAACAACCGCGAGGAGTCACTGCACGTCTGTAAGAATGGCGATAGTCCAAAACAGGCACAGTGCTAATACTGACGAGGGCACAGAGCTATAGAACCCTCAGTCATTGCTAGTGGAAACGCAGCATGGTGGAGCTGTTTGTGAAGAAAATTTTGCAGCTCCATGCAATGTTAGATACCCTCTAACCATAAAATCCAGCCCTCACACTCTTCATTTTTTTCTTAATGGATCTGAGAAGTTATGTCTGCAGAAAAGCCTCAACATGGTTATTTATGCTTCCATTTACAGTGCCTAAACTTGGAAGCAACCATGCTTTCGTTCAGTAAGTGAATGGATATACAAGTTGTGGTACATCCAGGCAGTGGGATGTTAGTCTAAATAGATAAAAAAAATGAGCTATGAAGCTATGAAAAGACATGGAAGAGCATTAAATACATATTACTAAGTATAAGAAGCCAGTGTGGAAAGCTACACACCATGTAATTCCAACTAAGTGACATTCTAGAAATGGCAAAACCAGGAAGGCAGTGAAAATCTGTGGTTTCCAGGGGCTGAGGGAGGGATGAATTTTCAAGACAGCTAAAATGTCTGGTAAGCGCGATTATCGTTTGTTTGTTTTTGAAAGGGACAGTCTTGTTTGTCTTGCACTCTCAGTAACTACTTTTAACATTATAGTACTCAGTTATTAATTAGTCTTATTCTCTTAATTTTTAAATGAAATTTGTCTTTTTCATAACATAGAAAAAGAAAATAACCTGTATGATATTAAAAGGGTGGATACATACCTATTATACCCTTGTCCAAAACTATAGAGCATATAACACCAAAAGTAAATGCTATACTGGTGGATGTCTGTAATCCTAGTGCTTTGGGAGACTGAGGCAGGAGGACTGTGTTTGAGCCCCACTTAGGTAATAGAGTGAGTTAGTGAGACCCTGTCTCAAAATGCAAAACAAATGAATAGAAGGGGTGATGATGTAGCTCAGTGGGAAGGCTCTAGGTTCAATCCCTAGTGCTGTAAAAATAATAAGTAGAGCCCAATTCTAATGTAAACTGTGGTATTTGGATGACCATGATGTGATAGTAGAGGTCGGGCAAGTGTCACAAATGTATCCCTCTGTTAGAGGATGATACTAATGCAAGAGGTTGTGTATGTGTTGGGGACTCTCTTTACCCTCTGCTCGGATTTGCTGTGGATCTAATGTTCTGAACGATGAAATCTCTTTTTAAAAGTAGGTGGAAATTAACCACTGTTCACATATTTTCAGTAATTTTTATTACTAGCTTAGAAGATTTCTATTGCACAAGATAATTGTTACTCTTGGTGAAATTCTTTTGAAGTTATTAAATCTGCAGGATTTAACTTTTCAAATCAATATTTTGCATTAGTCTTATGAATACTTCCTTACCATTCATTTTTAATGTTATAATTTTTCAAGTATTTCTAGTAGAATTCTTATTTGGCCAAGTTTAGAATGTGTATGGGATTCATGTGTTTGAGGTTTCTGACTTCAAATGTTATTGTTTATATTAGAAAATGACAGCTTGAAGAAATCATGCCTATTTTGAAGAAAGGGTCAGTGAAACATAATTAAATCACTTTGCAAATTAGTGATTATAGCTCTTTGGTTGGCCCTATGGGCTTTCATATAGTTTGCACTAAGGGAGGGAGATAGATTTTCTTCTAATATCCTTGAGTATTGTCTTTCTCAGTTGAGAACTCCTGTGGGTCCTTGTGTTGAACTTTGCGTACATCAGTTCAAATCATGCAAGAAAGTGCAAACTTTCTGCTTGACTACCAGTAGCATAGATCAGGTATAGCACCCCTAATTGGCGAAGAACACGTCCTTGGCTGTTTTAGGCAAGTTTAATTTTTTCCTGTTTCCCATTTTCTCTCTTTTTCTATCTCACACAGGCCACACTTACCTGCACACACAGTTCTGGTATGAATTAGGGTCTGGCCCATTAGACAGAAACATTGTGCTCCAGAATGAACTTGCATTTCCTTCTGCATGCATGTATGTATGGGCAAACACAGGGCAAGGAACATAAGATGATACAGAGTCACATAGTTCAGACATACACAGACACACAGGCATAACAGACAGGGTATCAGAGGCATACACATAAACACACAGATGGGTACAGCCTCCCTCTAGACATACACAGGGGTACATGCATATATTTAAATGCAAAGATATGCAGACATGTACAAATTCACATACACAAACACACATAAAGGCAAAGGCACACATACATGTATATGCCTGCTTTCTTATTCCTGGGTTGTTCATTGTTATTGGTCATTTTTACATTTCTGGAACAAAATATCTGACAAACATGACTTAAGGTGAAAAAGCTCAACTTATGGTTTTGGAGGCTTTAGTCCATGGTCAGTAGGCTAAAGGCATCATGGTAGAAAGGGTACCTCACTGTATATAGGAAGCAGAGACAGCACATGAGACCCAGGGAGAGGAATGGGCTGAAGACGAGAATATGCCCTTCCAGGTAATGCCACCAGGGACCCCTTCCCCCAGACAGGCCCCGCCCACTTCCCATCGGCTGTGAACTCCTCAGTGTGCTCATGCAGTGAGTATAGTGTGAGTGTCTAGTTTTCAAAAGCCCCACCTCTGAACACACGAGACGTTTGGGGCGTGTTTTTTATCAAACCACAACAGTCACAGACTAGTATTTAAGTGAAATTTTATCTGTTTTGATTGTAGGACGTGTTGGTGGTAGACAGATTCCAGGATATATGAATTAGGTACTGTGTAGCTAGCTACATTTGCACTGTAATGTTATGTGTCCACGGTAAGTGAAAACACCTTCTTGGATCATCCCTTGAACCTAGGACCTCTGTTCTGTGCCCATCAACTGTGGACTTCAATCCTAATTCAGAGCCAAAGTGGAAAGAAGTGGTGATCAGAGCTATGAAAGAAACACCTGTATACACCATGAGCCTTTGGCCCAGACCAGGCCTCCTCCTGTGCAAATCTGGGAAATCACATTCCTCTGCACATTTTGGTCATTTGCTTGCTTTTTGCTTTTTCTGAAGATGAGAGAGAGGAAGAAAACACAGGAGAAAGAGAAGAGGGAGGGAGAGAGAGAAAAAAGACAGACAGAGAGAGAGAGAGAGAGACAACAAGGCTGCAGAAGAATACTTGGTAGAACTATGCTTCAAAGGTTTCCTAAACATAGAGTTCAGTTAAGCTGGATGCACCTTATCTAATT